GCCTAGTATGTGTAAAGCACTGGGTTTGATTCTCAGCACCATATATAAATAAATGAATAAAATAATGGTCCATTATTGTCTTTTAAATATTTTTAAAAATGTGTTTCAAGCCATTGGGATTAACCTATGTATTATATTAACCTATAACCTATGTATTATACTTAATTTTCCTATCTATTCTGGAAGTTTTTCCATTAGTTTTCTTGAGTGTAGGTATTTAATCACATTGGCTATGTAAAACTATATCTTTCTATCTAATAGTTATTGCTCTTATTTCAGCTTCATGTCTTATTGCACTGGTTGACACTACCAGAGTAATGTTAAAATGAAACGGTGAAAGTGGGATTCTTTTTTTGTTATTGATAATTTAATGGGAGAAACCATTATTATTTAGTCAAATTTTAAAAATTATGTTAAGGAAGTATTCCATCCATTTCTAGTTTTCTGAGTTCTTAAAAAATCATGAGTAGGTGTTGAATTTTATGAAATTCATTTTGGTATCTATTGAATGGACACCAATGATTTTGATCCAGATTCATAATTGGGAAGTGAAATAAACATTTATAGTTAACTATAACTATAAATGTGGTTCAATTGGTACTTTTCTTTTTCCAGCAATACCCAGAGCTTGCTTTCAAAGTAACATGTGGGTGGTAGAGACAGCTAAGAGTTAATTCTAATAATGTGTTGCACAAATTTTTATATATTGTTGCCATTCATTAAATTATTGTTGTTAGTTATGAAAGTTGTAGCCCACAAAGACATTAGAAATGTCAAAGCTTTGGCTGAAATGTTTTCTCTGATATGCAGATGCTAATGCGCAATAAAGGGGGGGTATAGGGAAGAATAGAGTTACTTTGGATTAGACAGAGGGGAGTGAAGGGGGAGGGAAGGGTGTATGGGGTTGGGAAGGATAGTGGAATGAATTGGACATTATTACCCTATGTACATAAATGCCTACATGACCAGTGTGATTCTATATCGTGTACAACCAGAAGAATGAGAAGTTATACTCCATTTATGTATGATATGTCAAAACTCATTCTACGGTCATGTATAACTAATTAGAACAAAAACAGAGAAATGTTAAAGGTTTGGATTATTTTCATATATGGCACACATGAGCAATTGGAAAAGAATTTATATTATTCTTTTATGTTGCTAAAAACCAGCAGAAGGATAATGGTTTGACATCGACTTGATATTGAGTAGTTTTAGTTAAGAATTGACTTTGGAAATGGTCCTTTTTCATATTTTTATTACCAAACGTTTTTTAAAAATATTTTTTAGTTGTAGATGAACACAATACCTTTACTTATTTATCTTTATGTGGCGCTGAGGATCGAACCCAGGGTCTTGCATGTGCTAGGCGAGTGCTCTACCACTGAGCCACAACCCCAGCCCCACCAAAATTTTTAAGGAATGAGGGTCATTAAATCTATGAAAGGTAGGGCTATATTCAGCTTGTTTTTAAATTTAATTAAATTTTGTATTTATACATACACACACACACATACACACATACATACATACATACATACATACTGAGGATTGCACCCAGGGTCACTCTACTGCTGAGCTATATCCCCAGCCCCTCCATTTCAAAATTTTATTTTGAGATAGGTTCTCACTAAGTTGCCCAGGCTGGCCTAAAACTTGTGATTACTCCTATTTCAGCCTCCCATATAGCTAGGGTTATAAGCATGTACCATCACACTCAGCCAAGCTTTTTTGTTTGTTTTAAAGAAGAAGGGTGTTTTCATTTTTTCTTACCTAACAAGACTGATTTCTAATTACTGGATTTGATGGAATTGGTTTGTTATATCAGTTAGTAGATGAGAAAGGGAGAAATGACAGAGCATGGGTGAAGGCGATGATTGGGAAAAAGAAGTAATTTTTGCTTAAACCTCACAGAATTGGTATTAATAAGTTATAAGAATGTCAATAATGCTATGTAGTATAATATATAGTTAAAGTATAATGATTAAGAATATGGGTTTCATCTCTCCACTTACCATCTTGTCCCCATCTTCCTCATGTATAAAATAGAGAAATAGCAATATTTACTTCACAAGGGTAGTTGTGGTTATTACATGAATTTATACATGTAAAGATCTTAAAACAATGCCTGGCACATAATTTATTAAAAAAGCAAGAGCTATCATTGTCATCATTATCATTCTCATCATCTTCAATATAAGATGGAGGGGTTTGGGACACAACCTGGATGCATTCTGAATTTTGGAGGATGAGAATAAATTATCCAAGGAGGAGACAGAATGAAGAAAGAGTTGTCCAACAATAAACATAGAAATATCAAATAATAGAGTGTTGTTTTGGAAGGTTGAAAGAGGAAATCTTTCTCAGTGTGGACAGATATGAAGTCCAGGGTGGAATTTTAGATTTCAGGAGTCTTTAGCTATGTCTAATTTATTTACAGAGTTTGAAGAAAGGATCATACTGAAGGTATAGGCAGCAGAGAAAATTGACTAACACGGTTGCCTCTGAGAATTTGGAAGGAGCAAAGGGTTGGACATGTCCATAGGCATCCCCATATCTACATCCTCAACTTCTTTTTCTCTTATAACATCTGGATTTCTAAGTCAGGCATGTTTCAAAGGCTGTACTTTGTCATGAATACTATAACCATGTCATAAATTCCTTCCTCATCTATAAAACAAAATCCTCTACTCCTGACCATATGTTCCATATTCACTTTATTTTTTAAAGTCTATTACAGAAACCAATATTGATAATTCTGTTAGGTGATGCAGTTAAATTTGGGGTGTTTTTGTGGTGTAGTTGTTTTCCCTGAGAAGTGGGTTGTTTTTGTTTTTTTTTCCCCAAGAGTTTTGTGATATTTCAATGTATTTAGTCAGGAAAAGGAAATTTTCCTTTGGTACAAAATTCATCTCCAAGAATAGCTATCAAATTAAAATGGGTGGTATGATCATTAAGATAGTTAAGTAAACTATTTGAGTGTCACTGCCTACATAATGAATCTGAAATAAAGTATATCAAGATGCTTATATTTCTAGTTTCTAGTATTATTAATTATTAATTGAAACAAATTATTCTTAAATCTCAAAATCCAATGTTTCTAGCATTATTATTACTAATTGAAATAAGTTATCTTAAATTTTAAACCAAATCCAAATGAGAAAAATAACCTCTGCTGGACCACATTGAAGACAGATATTATTACTTCTAACTTCTGCTTTTTATAAAACATCATCAACTCTCACCAAAAAATATTGGGGTTCACAATTTAGAAAATATTTTTTTAAATGACCAATATAACTTTAGATTTGTTTTCAGACTTAGTTTTTAAATGTAATCTTCTCAGCATAACTGGATTGTGAAAAAATATACATCTACTAACATCATACCTTCTAAACACACCACTCTAAATATTCAAAAAGAAAGGAACTGTTTGCAGAGAACTTCTGGTGAATGGCCTTAATTACAAATCAGTGTTAATGAGTTGAAGAGTATGTCATCATCTTCTGGGCCATTTCTCTTTCCCTCTCTCTCTGTTTCGTTATTAGGGATTGAACCCAGGGACACTTAACCAATGAACCAATTCCCAGTCCTTTTATTTTTTATTTTGAGACTGGGTCTTGCTAAATTGCTTAGGGCCTTGCTAAGTTGTTAAGAATGGCTTTGAACTGTTGATCCTCTTGCCTAGCCTCCTGAGCTGCTAGGATTATAGGTGTGTGCCACCATTCCTGGCTTGGGCCAGTCCTCTCTTACTGTAATAATCTTGTGTATTAGCCACAATACCTCAGTGCTATATAGTAAACATTTCTTCTAGCATGTCTACAGATTAGCTGACCACTTCTGATGATCTTGGTAGACTTGATTTAGCAGTATTTTGGGTCTTGGCTGAGGTCACTCATGTGTCTGAAGCTCTGCTGGCTGCTGAATAATCTTGAACACCTTTGGCTAGGATGATGCAGCTCTGTTACACATGGTGTTGGTTTTTTTTTATTCAGCTAGCCTGGGCTTAGAGGTAGTGGTAGTTTTCCAAAAGAGAGACGCATAACAAGTCCTCCTGAGACCTGGACATGAAGTTAGTAGGTATTACTTCCCCCATATTCTTCAGGCCAATGCAAGTCATGAAGCTGGACTAGTTTGAAGGGATGGAAAAATATGCTTAATGGGAGAAATGACTAAATCACATTTTAAAAGGCATGGGTAGAAGCTAGGATAGAGAATTGAGGCCACTTTTGTGATCAGTCTGTCACATCCCCTTTCATCTTTCTCTGCCTGAATTGTCTGGATGTCTGTTCTTGAGCTGACTGTTTTGTGGGTAATCTTGCAAGAAATGACTGTGGGTCTCAGTACTTACTAAAATGGGGAATGTAGGCAATCTGTTACTATACAGAAATGTCTCTCAAAGAGGGCTTTGGACATTTCTGCTTATGGTTTGTCATTTAATTTTATTGCTTTGTTATCAAGAAAAAAAGAAAATCATGTAAGAAAATTTTTATGTGAAGGGAGAAGCAAATTAATTACAACTAAGTAAAATCCTCTTAAGTGTTTAATGAGAAAAATTGAATGTTGTAGTTTAATTTTTTTGTAGCTCCTGAATAGCAGCAGATGTTTGAATAAAATACAATGAATTGTTGTGTTTTTAGCCCTGTTTGTAAAAACCTGAGATGAAAGAAGTGGGCAAAAAGTTTAGAGCTAGAGTTTCAGAGAATCAAAATTCCTTGACTGACCAGTTTTTATGATGCTTCTCTTCCTTTGCATTGATTATAGACTCAGTACTTTGTCAAAACATTATCCCAGGAAGGGATAATGGTTATCTATGTGAATGTACCTATTGGTCTCAGAATCAGTCATTCCTCATGGTTATTTGTGGGATATCTTGATATTCATAATATTTAACACCAGTGCCTTACATGGGCTAGGTATTCAAGAAGATTTTTATTACATGTAAGTATTGAAATGTTGATTTCCACTGTTCACCCACCTTTCTGTCTTTAATTTTCCAGAACTTGTAAGTCGGCTTTTTGAAAGCACCTTCCAGGATATCAAGGATAGACAGGAGTATGTAGGGTTGATAGATGTACCAGACTCTTATGAAGGCCCTCGCCTGGAATTTCCTCTCACTTTTACTGACATCAATCACCTCCTTGAGGCCTTTAAGCAACAACAGGCAAGTGGAAGCAGATTCTGCCTTGGTTTTTGTACAAAGCAGGTGCTCAGTGACCATCTATTGAATGAATGAATTTCATACTGCATCAGAAATGTATTTCCTTGGGAAAATGTTTCATCTTATGTCAGAGTTACCTTCTACTTTGTTTAACCTACTAAATAGAAGTCTCCTCAGATGCATAGCAACCTCCTCTTGGTCTGGATGTTTATAACATTTCCTTTTCCATTTTTGTGACATAATTCACATACCATAAAATTCACAGATTTAAAGTGTACAATTCAGTGATTTTTAGTACATTAACAAGGTTGTATAATCATTACCAATATCTAATTGAATAAAGTTTTCATTACCCCAAAAGAAAGGCCACGTTGATTTGCCATTTCCTCCTCCTTCATCCAGGCAACCACTATTCTACTTTCTGTCTCTATGAATTTGCCTATTCTGGATATTTCATATAAGTGAAATTACATAATATATGGCTTTTTGTGTTTGGCTTTTTTCACTTAACAGTAATGATACAGAAATTTCTAAGGTTCATTCATGTCACAGCATGTATCATTACTTCATTTATTTTAATGGCTGAATAATATTGCATTGTATATCAGTTTGTTTACTGTGTTATCTGTGATGAACATTGGATTGTTTTTATCTTTTGGTTATTATGAACAATGCTACTATGAACATTTATGTACAAATTTTTGTATGAACACATCTTCACTTCTCTTGGGTATATACCTAGAAGTAGAATTGTGGGATCATACGGTAACTCTTTGAGTAACCGCTAAACTGTTTTCTACAGTGGCCAAACGATTTTACATTCCCACCAGCAATGTATGAGTGTTCCAATTCTCCATGGTTTTGACAACACTTATTATTTTCATTTTTATTGTAGCTATCCTAATTGTGTGAAATGGCATCTCACTGAAGTTTTTAAAAAAATATTTTTAGCTACAGATGGATAAAATATCTTTATTTCATTTGTTTTATGTGGTGCTGAGAATCAAACCCCATGCCTCACACATGCTAGTCAAGTGCTCTACCACTGAGCCACAGCCCCAGCCCTTATTGTAGTTTTGATTTACGTTTCCTAATAGTGTTGAGCATTTTTCATGTATTTATTGGCTGTTTGTGTACCTCCTTTGGAGAAATGCTTATGTATATCTTTCACCCATTTTAAAACCAGGTTGTCTTTTTTTTTTTTTTTATTGAGTTAATAAGAGTTCTGTCTGGATTTAAGTTCCTTATCAGATATATGATTTACAAATTTTTTTCTTTTTCCGTAGATTGTCTTTTCACTTTCTTGTTAATGGACTTTTTTTTTTTTTTTTTTTTTTTTTTTGGTACCAGGGATTGAACCCAGAGGCACTTAACCACTGAGCCACATCCCAGCCCTTTTTTTCTTTTTTCTTTTGTACTTAGAGACAGGTTCTCACTGATTTGATTAGTGCCTCGCTTTTGCTGAGGTTGGCTTTGAACTCCCCTAGCCCTTTTATATTTTATTTAGAGACAGGATCTTGCTGAGTTGTTCAGTGCCTTGCTAAATTTCTGGGGCTGGCTTTTAACTCGGCCATTCTCCTCTTTCAGCCTCCCCAGCCACTGGGATTACAGGCATGTGCCACTGTGCCCAGATGATAATGGACTTTGATGCACAAGAATTTTTATTTTAACAAAGTCCAGTTAATTAACTTTTCTCCTTTTGGTTGCTTATGCTTTTTTTGGTGTCGTCTGAGAATCCATTGACAAATCCATGATCATGAAAATTTATTCCTGTATTTTCTTCTAAGAGTTTTATAGTTTTAGCTCTTATATTTAGGTCTATGAACCATTTTGTGTTAATTCCTATATAGCATGAGATAGGGGTCAAATTTCTTCATTCTTTGCATATGGTTATGCAGTTGTCCCAGCATCATTTGTTGAAGAGACTGTTCTTTTCCCATTGAGTGGTCTTGGCACTCTTGTTCAAAATCCATAAGCCATAGATATATACATTTGTTTGTGGACTATCAATTCTATTTCATTGGTCTATGCATTTATCTTTTTTATTTATTTGTTTTTGTTTTTGTGTGTTGGTGGGAATCCAGCCTAAGTCTTCCTACATGCTAGGCAAGTACTTTACCACTGAGGTATATCCCCAGCCCCTGTATGTCTGTCTTTATTCCAGTAGCATACAGTATTAGTTACTGTAGCTTTGTAGTAAGTTCACTTTTTTCCCCCTAGCACACTGTATTAGTTACTGTAGCTTTGTAGTAAGTTTTCTTTTTTTTTTTTCCCTCCTCTTCTTCTTCTTTTTTTTCTTTTCCCTGTGGAGATACTGGGGATTGAACCCAGGAGCATTCTGCCTCTGTAGCTACATCCCAGCCCTTTTTAAAATTATTCTGAGACAGGGCCTGGCTAAGTTGCCCAGGCAGATCTTGAACTTGCTATTCTTCTGTCTCCGTCTCCCAAGTCACTGGGATTATAGGCATGTGCCACCATTTCCAGCAAGTTTTTTTTTTGTTTGTTTGCAGGACTAGGAATTGAACCCAGGGCCTTATGTGTGCTAGGCAAGCACTCTACCACTAAGCTACATTCCCTGACTATGTTGTAACCTTTGAAATAGGGAAATGTGAGTTCTTCAGCTTTGTTCTTTCTTTTCAATTTTGTTTTGATGGTTTAGGGTTCCTTGCAATGAATTTGAGGATTGAAAATTTTATTTCTGCAAAAAAGCCATTGAAATTTTGATAGGTATTGCATTAAATTCATAGGCAATACTTTGTTTGGGTAGTATTGCCATTTGACAATATTAAGTCTTCCAATTCATGAAAACAGGGTGTTTTCCCACTTATTTATGTCTCCCTTAATTTCTTTCAGCAATGTTTTTTAGTTTTCAGTGGACAAGTCTTTCACAACCTTGGTTAAATTTATTCTTAGGTATTTGGTTGACACTGTAGAAGAAATTGCTTTCTTGATTTTTTTTGCATTGTTTATGGCTTACAGCTTCAATGAATTGATTTATCAGGTCAGATCTTTGGTTTGTGCAGATTCTTTGGGATATTTTCTATATAGGATCATGTCTTTTGTGGAGTTTTATTTTTCCTCCTTTCTGATCTGGATGCTTTTTATTTTGTGTATAATTTCTCTGTCTAGAGCTTGTAGTACAATATTGAGTAGCAGTGATGAAAGTGGGAATGTTTGTCTTGTTCCTGTCTTAAAGGGAAATCTTTCCGTCTTTCACCATGGTGTTTGATGTTGTGGGTTTTTCATAAATGCCCTTTGTCATGCTGAAGAAGTTTCCTTCTAATTTTAGTTTCCTAAGTAATTTTATCATAAAAGGATTTTGAGTTTTCTTTAATTTTTTTGTATGTGTGTCAGTTGAGATAATTGTATGTGTATGTGTGTGTGTGTTTTCCTTCATTTTCTAAATGTGGTATAATACACTGATTAATTTTCTTATTTTCAACCACCCTTATATTCCTGAGGTAAATCTCACTTGGTCATGGTTAATAATCTCTTTAAAATGCAGTTGAATTTGGTTTACTGGCATTTTATTGAAGATTTTTATATCTACATTTTTAAGAGATAGTTGATCTGTAATTTTCTTTTAGTGTCTGTGTTTGGCTTTGATATCAGGGTAATAATGATTTCATAGAATGAGTTAGGTATTTTTCCCTCTTATTTGGTTTCTTTTTTTGGGGGAGGAATTTGAGAAGGATTGGTGTTAATTTTTTTATTATAATTTTTCATTGGTGCATTATAGTTACACATTATAGTGGTTGTTATATATTTGTACATGCACACAATATAACTTGGTTAATTTTATTCTCCAGTATTTAATTCTTCTTTAACTGTTTAGTAGAGTTAATTAGTGTAGCCACATGGACTTCAGCTTTTCTTTACTAGGAGGTTTTTGATTACTGATCCAATCTCTTGTTGTAGGTCTGTGCAGATTTCCTATTTCTTCTTGAGTCTACTCTGGTAATTTGTGTATTTTTAGGAATTTGTCCATTTCATATAACTTATCTAATTTGTTAGTGTACAGTTGTTCATAGTATTCTGTTACAATCTTTTTATTTATTTATTTATTTATTTTTGTACCAAGAATTGAACCTGGGGCTCTTAACCACTGAGCCAAATCCCCAGCCCTTTTTTATATTTTATTTTGAAACAGGGTCTTGCTGAGTTGCTTAGGGCCTCACTAAGTTGCTGAGGCTGGCTTTGAACTTTCAATCTTCCTGCCTCAGCCTCCTGAACTGCTGGGATCACAGGTGTGTGCCACCAAGCCCGGCTCTTTTGTAATTTCTGCCGCAGTCTGGCTGCTCACAAAATCACGAGCCACTCAAGCAGGAACAAACTTTATTTTTTGAAACTGCCGCCAATGCCCCATACGAGCAACACGCCGGGAAGATTGCCGATCCACTCACACGGCCTTCTCCCGGAACCCCAGAGGAAGTTCCTCCCCCGGAATTCCCTCCTACTTCACTTCCCCAGCCAATGGGAACTCTCCCGGAGTCCCTTAGCAGGCCAAGGTGAACAGCAGGAGTCCAATATCCATATGAATGCAAATCTTAACATAATCATATCATCTCAATGGCTAGCTGGCGTCACCTTTCAACCAAAAATGCCATGCATCATATTACTTGGCTGTGGCTCTTAGCAATTTCTTTGCTAAGATGGTAATAGCCTTATATTTGTTTCTGATTTTGGTTGTTTGCATTTTCTCTCTTTCTGCCCCACCCCTTTTTTTCAGTCTAGTTAAAGGTTTGTTAATTTTGTTGATATGAAGAACCAACTTTTGTTGATTCTCTGTTGTTTTTCTGCTCTGTTTCATTTATCCCTACTGTAATTCTTATTTTCTTCCTTCTACTAACTTTGGGTTTAGTTTGCTTTTATTTTTCTAGTGAACTAAAAGTACTTTTGGATTTGAAAAAATTTTTGGATTTGAAATAATAATTTTCTCTCCCTCCAGTGTTTTATTTTTTAAATTTGTTTTAATTAGTTACATATGACAGTACAATGATCTTGACATATCATACATTTGAATCAGATGAGATATAATTTTTCATTTTTCTGAGTGTACAGGTTGCAGAATCTTATTGGTCATGTAGTCTCATATATACACACAGCAATAATAATGACTATTTTATTCTGTCCTTGAAATAATTTTTTTAATGCAGACATTTACAGTCATAAATTTCTCTCTGAGCACTGCTTTTGCCATATTGCATATGTTTTGGTGTGTTGTGTTTTCATTTTCATTCATCTCAAAGTATTTTCTAATTTCTCTTGTGGGTTTTTTTTCCTTTCCATTGGTATTTAAGAGTAATGTACTTTCTAGTTTTGCTTCTGTTATTGATTTCTAGTTGCATTCCATTGTGGTCAAAGAAGATACTTTGCACCATTTCAGTCTTTTAAAATTAAATTTATTGAGGCTTATATTGTGACTTAACATCTGGTCTATCCTGGAATATTTTCCTTGTGTACTTGAGAAAAATGAGTCTGCTGTTTTGGGGTAAGTATTTTATACATGTCTATTAGGTCTAGTTGTGTGTGTGGTTTCTGTAATATCCGTTCAGTTCCTTACAAAATGAAGGAAGAAAGAAAAGAAATTTCTCTCAGTCTTTGCAGATTGACTCTGTTAGGACCCTTGCTTCACTGCTTGGTCAGGCCATTGACAAATCTGTCTTGGAAAGTATCATGCTTATGCTTAGACATTGTCAAGTTTCCTTTTTCTTTATTTAGTGTGTGTTTGACTGCTGTAAACCTCGAAGATATTTCAGAGCTCTGACAAAAATTGATTCTGACAGTTTTTTTTTGTTTGTTTGTTTGATTTTTCAGTAGTTCTGTGGAGGGATTGGATCTTGGAGCTCACTACATCATTGTCTCTGATAATCACCCCTAAACCCTTTTTCTCAATATAGGACATAAAAGGGATACTCTCAGAGTAAGAGTGAACTGGAAATAGGCTGGCTCTGCAGGGATTGAAGCATAGCTTTGAATCATCTAATTTATGAAATTGAATTGAGATCATCCTACGTAGCTAGTGGTCCTAGTCACTTGCCAACAACAAATTTAAATCCTCTCTGGAAAAAAATAGGCCTGAAATTATTTCTACAGTTTTTCATATACAGTGTCCATGATGCATGAAAGCAAATAGATAAATAACAGATAATGGAAACAAACCCATATTCAGATAATGACATTATTAGACTAAGAGTTTAAAATAAATATGCTTAATATGTTCAAGGAGATTAAAAGATATAACATCAATCCAAGGAGCTATAATGGAAAATTTTATAATTTTGACTTTATAAATATGAAAATTATATTATTAAGGAAAGACTCAAAGAATAAAAGGTTCAACACAGTATACAGTATATTCCCATTGTAAGAAAAAAAAATCAAGGACTATGTTTTTTATCTTTAAAAATTGCAATAAAATTCATATAACATAAAATCAACCATTCAAACTATTTTAAAGTACATGATTCAGTGGTTTTTAGTATTTAAAATGTTATTCAACCAACACTATTCCAGAACTGTTTTTTTTTTTTGTGTGTGTGTGTGTGTGTGTGTGTGTGTGTGGTGCTGGGGATCAAACTCAGGGACTGTGCATGATGCCAGGCAACTGCTCTTATTTCCAGAATATTTTTGTCATCCCCCAATAAAACCCTGTATCCATGAACATTCACTTTCCTTTCTGCTTTCCCCAGCTCCTGGGGAATTAGTATACCACTAATTTGCTTTTTGTCTCTATAGATTTCTCAGATCTGAATGTTTCATTTAATGAAATTATACAATACATGTGGCCTTTGATGTCTGGCTTCTTTCACTTGGCATAATGTTTTCAGAGTTCATTCATTTTGTTGCATGTTCTAGTACTTCATTCCTATTTTTAGCTGAATAATATTACTTTATATGGATATACCACATTTTATTTAAAGGATTATATATTTATACCTACATTTGAATATTCATGTGTAGTTATATTAATTCTGTATACTTGCAAACAAGTAGAATATTTTTGGGAAAGATACTAAAAACATTCTCAATAGTGACTGCTTCTGGGGACAGGGATGGGGGATTGAGGTCTGGGAAAAAGGGAAAGTCACTTTTCATTGTTCTATCCCTTTTTTTGGATGGAGGGGGTGCTATGGGGGATTGAACTCAGGGGCACTCGACCACTGAGCCACATTCCCAGCCCTGTTTTGGGATTTTTATTGAGAGACGGGGTCTCACTGAGTTACTTAGTGCCTCGTCATTGCTGAGGCTGGCTTTGAACTTGCAATCCTTCTGTCTTGGCCTCCAGAGCCGCTGGGATTACAGGCATGTGCCGCCTCTCCTGGCTTGTTCTATCCCTTTTTAATGTCACATTTTTATTTCAACTAAAAAAAAAAAAAATCTTATCCATTTAAAACTACTTTTTGAAAAAGAAATATCCTTTAATAGTAGCATTTTATGGAAGAAATAAATAAAAAAAGAAAGGAAAAAAGTAGCATTTTCCCTCCTTTGATGCCTTTAAAAGAATGTGAATATTTTATTTAAAAGATGATTTAATCCAAATATATTTACAAATATAAAAATGTCTGATTTACCTGTTTTGAATATTTAATATTGTAGTTGTAAACATAAGATTATAATGCTGCTGAAAGATGGCCTTACAAGCAAGTAATAAAATTAATAAAGTGATTTTACTCAACCTAAAGAGAATCCAGAAAAACTATTTTAATACTGAGAATTTTCTATTGTTACAAGATATTCTCAGTGAATATTAATTTAACTTAAAAAAAATCATCCTCTTCAGACAGCAATTACTCTGATTAATACTACAAATGGACTAGAAAAGCTACAATGACAAGGTTACTCAGAAGCAGCATTAAAAATCACTAGATTAAATGTGTGAACTTAAAATAAGCCATTAAAAAATATTTTGCCTGTTCCTTTAAAATATGACTGAAGGAAAATTCACCATCAAGTTTTGATTCAAGTTGTAGATTGAATGGAGTTAGAATGCTTTTGTGGGGAAAAGACTTTGCAGTCCATTAAGTCTTAGAAGAGCAGGAAATTCCTCACTCATCAAGATCCAAGGAACTTTCTATTTCCTCCTAATTCTCACATTGCTACAAATCCTGCTTCTTGTTTCTTTTAAAACAATAATAATGAAAATTCTCAAAATTTACATAAAATATTTTTGAATCTTGGATAAAAAGTAATTTTATTTTAAAAATTATGAAAATGGAAATTTCAGGACACCATGAGACTGTGTTAGTCCAAAGGGTTCTATTTTCCCTTATACCCAGAGCAGTATCTGAAAGATATTCAGCAACGACCCCTTTCTCAGCTGGCAATAATATAAACCAGTTCTGTCTAATAGAAATAAAATGTGAGCCATATATTTGAAATTTTCTAGTATTCACATTTAAAATGTACAAGAAGGTGAAATCAATTTTAATAATAATTTATTTAACTCAATATATAAAGTATTATTTCAATATGTGATTATATTAAAAATTACATTTACTTTTTTTCATATTAAATCCTTGAAACCTAGTATGAAATTTGCTCTTAGAGCATATCTCAAGTCAGAAGAACCCCATTTTATGTTTCCAATAGCCCCATGTAGCTAGTGCCTGCCATATTGAACAGCCAGCATAGTTTAAATACTCCTAAACTTTAAAGTTGTGTTAACATCTGTTAAATTTTTGTGGTGGTCACATCTCTGTTATTTTGGAGTAAATATTTGGAATATTTTATAATTTAAAAAGGCAGAGGAAGACACATTGGATTAAAAAGAAGTCAAGGGGAAAAATCAGTAAATCTGCAAAACACTTATGCCATCAACACTATAACACTAGAACAGTGAGATTAATAATTATAAATAGGAGATAATCCAAGTGTTTTTTAAAATTTTTTTTTTTAGTTGTAGTTGGACACAATGCCTTTATTTATTTTTATGTGGTGAAGAGGATCGAACTAGCCTTGCACATGCTAGATGAGCGTTCTACCGCTGAGCCACAATCCCAGCTCCAATCCAAGTGTTTTATTTGGGTTTCAAATATATTTTATTGTTAGACTTTTATATAAATATGCTTTCTGTTTTAAGCATTCTCAAGGCTATACACCAAATATTTGAGCCACATCTGGGAGGCTTGACTCAGGAGTTCCTTGGAGCCTGTCTGGCTGCCTTGTGAGATCTCCAAGCCCAGCAACATCTACTTTTCATTGCAGGTGGCAGGACATCCTCACAAATGCAAAGCAACACTTCTTCAACAGATTCTGCTTTTTTAAAAAATGTAATTTAATTTTTTAAATTATATTTGGACAAAGTACCTTTATTTTATTTATTTTTATGTGGTGCTAAGGATCCAACCCAGGGCCTCGCACATGCTAGGCGAGTGCTCTACCGCTGAGCCACAACCCCAGCCCCAGATTCTGCTTTTCTTTCCCTTTCTCATTCTCTGTTTCCTTTTTTCTCCTTCTCTTTTACTATTATTTTGTCTGAACATTTCCCTAGGGCAAGTGAGCCCCCTTGCTTCTCCTTACTTCTCTTGGGTTCTAAGGACCAAGAATAATTAGAAATGTTCTGAAAATGAATTGTGTCAATGAAGAATATGAGAATATAAATGTCTTCAGAACCATTCATTCATTCAGTTACACATATCTACTAAGGACTTTTTATTTGCTAGATACTATGCTAGAATAATCTATTTAAGAAAAATTTAGAGGTTATCCTGAAGTATAGCAACCTAAAATGTGCTCCTGTGCTTCACTTTTATAGTTTTCTTCTTAGTTTCTTATATCTATTTCCGTTACTTCCCCCCTGCAGATACTTCATGCTCATTATGTCTTAGAGGTGTTATTTGAAACCAGGAAACTCCTGAAGCATATGCCGAATTTCACTCATGTAAAAACTTCTCCCTCCAAAGAGATAACAGTCTGTGGTAAGTTTCAGAGCAAAATTGTTAAGTTAATATTTAAGTGCCTCATGGTCCTACATCATTTGCCCAACTAGAAAACTGTGTAAATTGGACTGTGTTGAGAGAAGAATGTTAATATAGAATTATCTATCATGATAATACTGTTCCCTATCTTGTCTTTGTTGTGCATACCAGCTGGCAGGAATTAATTATGTAAGAAATTAAAGAACTCATAGCTTTTTATAAAGGCAGACAACATTTTAATATGGAAAACCACCCATGGGTAGAATAAGCATTCTTTGCCCTCTGACTAACTCTCATTATCTTTGTTCCATGTTGCTTTTTCTAGGTAGGCCTCTGCATGCCACTTATGCTGGGAAGAGAAAAACCCAAGGCAGGATGGAGATTAAATTCTTTTCTGCCCTTGGCTGCTGTTTTAGATTTTTTCCAACTAGTCTCTGCAGCTTTTAGAAGAGTGGGAATGTCCCAGAAATCTGTTTCTTGTTCTTCTAAATAACAAGATTTGAGATTTTGTTATCGTATAGGCCAGCCTGCCAGGATATTGCTTCAAGAAACAGTACACATTGAAATTCATCACAGTTGGTGCCCAGCATGCTTGCAACTGTCTGGGAGTGGAGTGCGTGGAAGGAACAGCAATTCCCTTAACTTCTAATTAAGCCTTTAGGTTACAAAGTAGTGATTGTTATTTTCCAAATCAATTTTTAGCCTGTGTTTCTCTTACTCTGGCAGGTAGAAGTGGATTTGACAATCTAATTAAACCATTTCCATTTCTAGCATCTGATATTGGTGACAGGAACTTGATGATATAGCAATACGTAATTCATAACATGCCCTGACTCAAGTTTTTAAAGAGACTATAATGGTTTAATTTCAACCTAATCAGGCCACCACATCTCTGACTCAGGAAGTCATGCCAATCTGGGAAACCTATGAATCCAGGACTAGGCTTGCTATCAGAATATAAATAGTAGCTAAAACAGAGAGTGGGGTCTGTTTCCAGGTACTTCTATTATACCTCTAGTTGCCATTGCAGAATTATCTGTGTCTAAAATGACCTGAAAGATACAGCAATGGCCTGGACTATCCCTTGTTTGTTTGTTTGTGCTAGAGATTGAACCCAGGTCCTAGTGCATGCCAGGCAAGCACTCTACCACTGAGCTACATCCCTACCCCTAGTGTCAGGATGAGAATTAAAAATTAGGACATCTGTATCCCAAGTTAGAGGCAACCCCATATTTGCTCTACTAGTTTGCATCATTCACTTTGTCTAGCTAATGTTTCAGTTTTCCTCATGAGACAGACTGGAGAATGGATGGATTAAACTGTTGCATTTTTTTTCTTTTTAAGGAATCCACATCTTGGGCATTTATTTCCAGATTTATTCTATGTAGCATCATTGGTAGAAGGAAAAGCCAAGATCAATAGGTTCTCTTAACATAGGAATTATTACTTTGTCTTTAAGTAATAATTAATTACAAAATAATAATTATTACTTTAGTAACCAATTGAACTTTGAAAATTTGGTTATCATTTAAAATAAAATTTAAAGTGAAACTATATTTCCAAAACCATCCTCTTTTAAGATAATATCAATAAAGGAAGAGAAAATATTTTACCATTTACCACATTTTAATTTCTTTTTAAATTACTTTTTAAACTTATGTATGACAGTGGAATGCATTACAATTCATATTACACATATAGAGCACAATTTTTCTTATCTCTAGTTGTATACAAAGTATATTCACACCAATTTGTGTCTTCATACATGTACTTTGGATACTAATGTCCATCACATTCCACCATCATTTCTAACCCCATGCTCCCCTCCCTTCCCCTCCCACCCCTCTGCCCTATCTAGAGTTCGTCTATTCCTCCCATGCTCCCCCTCTCTATGAATCAGCCTCCTTATATCAGAGAAAACATTCGGCATTTGGTTTTGGGGATTGGCTAACTCCACTTAGCATTATCTTCTCTAACTCCATCCATTTACCTGCAAATGCCATGATTTTATTCTCTCTTATCGCTGAGTAATATTCCATTGAATATATGTGCCACTTTTTTTTTATCCATTCATCTGTTGAAAGGCAACTAAGTTGGTTCCACAGTTTAGCTATTGTGAATTGTGCTGCTGTAAACATTGATGTAGTTGTGTCCCTATAGTATGTTGTTTTTCAGTCCTTTGGGTATACTCATACGTTGACTGCAAATTGGTGTAGCCAATATGGAAGCAGTATGGAGATTTCTTGGAATATTGGGAATGGAAACACCATTTGACCCATCTATCCCACATTTTAATTTCAAGATGCATTTTTACATGTACATCTAAATATACCCCATAGTTCTCAGCATGCATGAAATATAGGAATTTTTTAGTCTATAGTTATAAATGGTAATCAATTCTGCACTCATTTTTTATTTGCAGTAGAAATGTCTTTGTATTTATATTTTCCTGGCATAAGTTTTTCTCTTATTGTCCAACTAGAAATTCCAAATATTTTTATAGCCTCAACTCTTTTTTTTTCCTTTGCTGGGGATCAAACCCCCATTTTTTTGTTGTTGTTACCGTGGATTGAACCCAGGGGTGCTTCACCACTGAGTCACACCCCTAACCCTTTTTATTTTTTGAGACAGGGTTTTGCTGTGTGTTTAGCCTTGCTAAATTGCTGAGTCTGGCTTTGAAATTGCAATCCTCCTGTTGCTGAGATTTATAGGCATGCATCACCACACCTAACCTCAATTCTTAATATGCTGAAACAAGCTCATTTTTGAGCATTCTAGCTACTATAGTCCAGTATACTCAAATCTTTGATGAGTCACTCTGAAGAAAGTTTAGAAAATAAAATAAATAACAAAATATATTAAACTGATAAGAAAAAATTTCTTCCATCTTTATTTCCTTAGCTTTGGAGTGAGATTGTTATGAAAGTAATGAGGTTTAAGCCTTCAATAACATTAATATGCTCTTAATTTTATTGTTAAAATTGTAGTTATCTTATATATAAGAGATAGTGATATAGAATTTTAATTTTATTATTCCAAGTGTAATTGAAGTCTTCCATTGTGCATATTTGATAAATCTTGGTTGTGGGGTTTTAAACAAACTGAGTAAAAGTATTCCTAAATTAAATACTATGATAATTAAGTTAGATACAAAAAATAAAACTTCATGAGCAGAGTTTATAAAAGATAGATGTTTTACCTAGAAATATTTATTCATATGGGGTTTTTGAATATTCACAATCACTCTTAATTTTTTAATTAATTCATATATTCATATGGTTTCCTTTAGTTCACTTTTATTTTTATTTCTTATAGCTCTCATCAAAAGAATGTCAACTATTTCTTCACAATTTTTAAATTTCAGATGCTACTGCTGGAGCATATTTGAAACATGTCTTTAAAAATTATGCATTTAGGGGCTGGGGTTATGGCTCAGTGGTAGAGTGCTTGCCTAGCATGTGTGAGGCACTGGGTTTGATTCTCAGCACAGCATATAAATAAATAAATAAAGTCCACCAACAACTTAAAAAATATATATATACACACATATATGTGTGTGTGTGTGTGTGTGTGTGTGTGTATGCATTTAGTGACTTGTTGAGTGACTGCAATTCAGGTACTGTGGTAGGCCTTTGGGGATTGAATATTAACTATGATAGATACTGTTGCTGCTCTTCTGGATTTATAGCATAGGCAGTACAGAGTAATCACTAAAAGCTTGAGTTTTGAAAGGAGGCAACATTGGGTTTGAATTCCACGTTTGATATTGGGTAGCTGAGTAACTGCACAAGTTGCTTACCTACTCTCAGCTTCATTTGGAAAATGAGAATGATGAAAATAATACTCATAGAGTGGTTATAAGGATTAAACAAGATAATGTATGTACAATCCTTGGCATAGTGCTTGATTCAGAGTAAGTGAATCCCTGCATAAATGGCTAGAGAACAGGTCTTTGCAGTACCAGATGTTGTCCCTCTAAAGGAGAAGAAAGCACTGTGGAAACAAATTGTCTATTGAATTAATATCATCATAGGGTCAAAACCCAGCCCCCCAAAACACTTGAGAACATCTGTCTTTTATGAAATAGACTTTTACATCTTATATGTTTTTGAATGGTGAATTTTCATTTGAATTCCAGGTGATTTACATGGGAAACTGGATGACCTTTTTTTGATCTTCTATAAGGTAAGTGATTATTTTGCTAAATATTTGCAGGATTGTTGGGTGATAGCATTCTGAGGGCGGATAACAATATTAGTTGTGTTAGAGATATGTACAAATACAAATGTGTAATATCTGTTTTTATCCAAGAATCTCAAAGATTTATAGAGGCATGTCTTTTGATTTTTTTAATTAAAAAAACTCATAAAATTTGTTTAAAAATTTATTTAGGGTTTTTGTTCAACCTTATTACTGCCTGTGCATCCACTAGGATTTGTACTTGATTGTATTTATTGTCTTTATTATGTCAAAAATGTCTAGATAGTGCAGGATGAAGAAGAAAGCAGTCTGTTTTATTTTGTTCAGAAATGAGCATGTCACATACTAGTTTTCTCTTCCAATGCAAACTAGTTATGCATGAAAGGACTTTCCTCTAGTAAGTTCCAGTTGCTCTCTTCTCTACCTTGATTTACCATCTTGGGCTCAGTTGCTCTTGCAATGCTATGATTCTCTTCATTTATTGCCTTTGGTTTTGAGAGCTGGCCCAGAGAGCACAAAGCAGCTTGGCTAGCTTGTAGTTTCTCTGCACCTGTTTGATTGGATTTATTTTTTTCTTTGAGCCAAGAGTTGCAACTTGTATGTTTGCTTCTGCAATGACTGGTAGCATATAGAAAACTGATCTCAAGGTCCCTGCCTTTACAATGGTACCTTTTAATACTGGTCTTCTGATTACTATGTTTATTGTCTATTCATCCCACAACTAGCACATCAAATAATTGGGCATAACATAGATATCTCAGATGGATTGAGAGAAAATATATTCTGATAATTATGATGACCAATCAATTCACTCTTCGAGACTGTGAGAGCTTGAGTGAGCCACACAACTTCCATGAACCTCAGTTTGTTTTTTAGCTGCATTATTATCTTAAGCTTCCATGACATAAATTCTCATGAATAAAGTAACACAAATATTCAAAAGCATTTTTAAAGCAATTCATTATAATAGAAATGCAAGGTTTTTATTTCATTTATTCAGAATGGAAGCTTGGAAGAGAATGGGCTAGGCCAGAGCAAAAGTAGGTGAATGGACTGGCACTTAGGAGGAAATTCAGTTGAGAATACAGGCAGGCTAAACACGACACCCAGCATTATAGTCAGGGAGTGGGGTTAGAGGAAGTAGTCGGAGGCTCTCCAGATAGTTGGTTTATGAATCTTAGGCAATGATTTCTGGTAGGGAACAGAAGGTACTAGTAAAAGAATAATTCTGAATGTCAGCCACAAAACTCAAGCTGGGTAGGGATGGAAGAGAGTCCAGGATGGACCAGTTGATTGGGATACATGGAAGAACTGAAGGTTTAGAATGCTTCTGGGATCAGGAAGTCCTCTGACTGAGAGGCCGGAGGGCTGGCATGGCCTTAGGAAGCAGGAAGGGTGGGAAGTTGTAGGGGAGGTAGTTTCAGGTTATGAGAGGGTCTCAGGTGGAGTCTAGAAGGTGAGCAACTAAAGTGAGCATAAGAGAATGTTGGCAATGAAGAGGATAAGCATCTGGAAATTAGGTGTGTTAAATGGGTTGGCCACATGGACTGAGAGATGAGGAACTGGGGAGGAAGTCTAGTTAGAGGTCCTGGGCCTGAAAGGAGCATGGTAAAGCATTGGTCTGTTAATGGCTTTGGGGAGCAAGCAGATCCTCTCCTACTCTTGATCCTGAGGTGTTTTTTTCTGGGGAGGAATGGATCCTTTCCTTTCAGAGAGTTTCAGGAGTCAGGAGTCTAGCAGTGTCCTTAAGGGAGACCCAGATTTACAGAGAATTTTTTTCTGAATGACTTGAAGTTGAAAGGGAATTTACATACTGTGAAATGGGGATTCTACTGGCTAATTGGAAAGCTTTGCAAGAGTTAGAAGGATGGACTGGTGAGAAGAAGCCAGGAGTTGTACAGTTTGGGGGATGGGATCAGTTTAACTCAGTACATAGCTCCATACTAGACAATTACAATCTGAGAAAGGTGGGGAGAGGGATGGAGGATATGGAGAACAATAACAAGAAAAATCTGGTAATTCTTTTTCTATAGGCTTTGGGAAATAATATAAAAAGGAAAATAGTTGAGCAAATTAAATTAACAGAGTAGTCACCAAATTCCCAGGCATTTAGAAAATTTCCCAAGAGTTGGTATTATTAAGGTATGACCCAGAATAGAGCCCTGGAGTACACAGATGAAAAAAAAGAGAGTATTCTGATATAGTTTTTTAGTTGCACTGACAAAACTATATGGAGCTTATAAAACTGGAAGGTGCTAATGTAAAGATTGAACAGGAGGAGGTGGGTGGTAAGAAGTGCTATAAAAGGAACTAAAGGTGAAAATATAGTATTCAAATGGAAGCAAGAAATATTTCAAGAGCTAACCAATGACAGTATTCAGGAAGTAGAGATTGTGAGCCTGGCAATGACTGAGTAGGTGACTACTGTATTATATTTGGGATGGGCTAGGGTAGAGGGAGGTGAGAAGGATGTTTGGAAAACAGAAGTATGCCAGAGCCATGCATTAGAATTTTGACAGACTCTATTGAGAAGAAGGTAAAATGCATCTTGAATGTAGAATGAACCACACATGCTAGTTGTCTGATTTATCAGGGGAGACTGAGGGAAGAGCCATTGATGACACTCAGATTTCACCTTAAGAAAACGAAAAAAGATCTAATGTACAACATGAGGACTATAGGTAATAAAATTTTACTGTGTATGGGATTCATGCTAAATGGGTTGATTTTAACTATTTTTTGCTGCAAAAACAAAAGAAGGGTAACATATGAGATGATGGATATGCTAATTTGCTGCACTGTAGTTACCTTTTTACTATCTAGTTATATCCTATAACACCATATTATATACCTGAAATATGTACAACATTTATTTTTAAAAAGGAAGAAAATAGCAACTATGATAGAACATTGGGGCAAAAAAGCTGGATCACTAGTATAACTTATTAGTATTTTAAACAGTGTGACAACAAAAAATGCTATAACCATACTATTTTAAAGGAATTTGTGATAACTGAATACAAGACATTACTTTCTCTTATGAGGAAAAAAGGGAGCTTAAGAGATGGTGCAGTTAATGCTGCCTAAGAAGGAAGAATGACAGGCTGAGCTTGTGATGCTGCTGCTGGATCACTTAGTTTATGGCAAATGAGTGTCTGGTTAAGATGAAGGTAGTAAAATGAAAGGGCAGACACAGGAATCGGTCTGAGGAAGCTTCAGTAATTGGATGATCTCTAACTTGCAAAAGTCAGTGCTTTGCCCTTTTCTGTCTCATTTTTTGTCTACACTTTAAATGCATTTTGATAATAAATTGTATAAGTATAGTGCTTCCTAAAATATGAATACAAACTGTTTAGGAAATAATGTGTCTATATGAATACATATGACAGTGACATCCCACCTATCCAGATGTTGAACTTCAGTATACTTTTCTTATCTTCACTTATCATTCATATGATCCCAAACCCAGGTTTAAATAAATAGGGTCTCTTGAAACATTTGCCACAAATCTGATGAGCTTTATTCACAAGATAGACCCTAGACCCTTACCCAAAGACTAGTGACCATGTATCAGAAAATCTTTTCTCACACAAGGTTCACCCCATAGAAGATTAGAGAGTAGGAGGGGAAGAAGCAAAAGTCAGATACAGTGCTAGCAATGAAAAGTAAAAGCTCTTCCTGACAATAAGAGGAAATATGGAACTATATAAAAATGAGATTGGAAGTGAAGTAGCAATATGCAGTGAACTGGAGCTGTGTGGTATAGGGAAAACAGAGTTCTAGACTTCTCAAAAGTGCCTTAGGGGATGCTTAGGTTGATGAGCCTGCATAATGAAGAATATTTTACAGTATATGGTGTATACCCTGTTAAGAAATAAAGGGAGAAAATAGCACATTTTTAAAACTCCCAGCAAAATGGTTAAAGTAATTTTAAAAGATTTTAGCTTTTAAAAGAATAAGCTTCAGTGATCTGGAAAATTCATTTAAGCAATGCTTACAGTATGAATGAGTATCATTATTGGGTCTTAGGAATAGGAAAATGAGATAACATGAAAAAATGGAAAGATGAATTGAGAGAAGAGTAATGGGCCAAGGAAGTAGATGAGGAGGAAAGAATGAAGAACCTTCCCAATGAGAGAGGTGGAAAGTGCTGAATTTCTCTATGTGGCATCAGCTACAAAGGTTGCTGGTTCAAGGATTATAGCAGGTACATAACTTAGCAATCACTTCAGAAAATGGTAGAATTTCTGTGATGGTCTCTGATTCTCACTGCAATAAAGCATCAACAACTTACTGAATCCCAATCACATGTAGTGCTTGGCTCTGGTTCACTAATATGAGCCACCAGATTGAGTCACGTTAGTGTAAAATCACAGGCTCCCAAGCTTCTGTTTAGAACTAGCTAGTGGTCATATATTCTTATCTTTATTATTTTTTGTTAAGGGAAACAGAACTTGAATTGTGAGGAATAGTTTGGGAAATGACATCCTGTTGGGGATTTATGGAGCTATAAATATCCAAAGTTTACATTATATGACTAGTTGACTCCTCTCCATCAACCCAAAAGAGAAGCCTAGAAAACCTCAGGCTTTGAATTAAGGCAGTATTCTTATTAATCTTTGAGTTTTATTTTACTGAATACTTTCTTCCTCATCAGTTCTTTTATCTAGTATGGTGTGAGTAGGATTATAGGGCTGGGACTTGCTGCAGGCTAAGCAAGAACATAGCCTTAGAGGAAGTTATAATGTAAGGTTGCTGACATACCTTAATAGATTATTCTTTTCATCCAAGTGGTTGGTTTGACTTAATATTTCTATCATTATAATTGATCATATGCAGAAATTATCTGTCCACTGATTTATTCATTCACTAAACTTTTATTTGGTCTTTATAGGGTTCAAGGGATCATGTAAAAACTATAGGAACATACAAAGATGAATACAAAGTTTATTCATTTCACATATATTTATTCATTTAGTTATTTA